TTCTTCCCTGCCACCCCCACCACACTTGGCGTCTCCATTTCTGCCTCCTCCCAAACACAGGGGCTTCTCAAATCATGTTGATTCTGCCCCCTACGTGGTTCTCAGACCCGGCTCCTCCTCTCCATCACTGCTGTGTGTCTTCATGGCCTCCTTCCTGGACCACGGTGTTAGTTTCCCAACCGGTTCCTCTGATTTTCATCTGGCTCGCTTGCCAATCTGTCCTCCCCGTTGCCACCACGCCCTTTCCAAACCACAGGTATCAAGGTGTCTCTCTGGCCTACTTAAAAGTCGGCACCATGTCTCTCTTGCCTTGAAGAGAAGGGTGTCGTCCTAGACACGGCCTTCAAGGCGTTGGCGATTGTTTGGATACGGCTTCGTGGCCCCTGCCTGCTCCTGTTCTCCCATCACATCGGCCTTCATCCTGCACCCTGGATTGACTGGTAACTCGTGAAGCGGTTGCCTGGGCTGAGAAAAGCCTTTCCTCTGAGTCCCCTCCTCCCTCTACACGCCAATCTCCCTGGTTTCGCTTTCCCTCCATTTATATCCATTCCTTGCTCAACATGCAATTAATGCACCACTTTCTCTCACAAGCTTCCCCAGATCCACCTGATATACCTGACCGGTCACCCTCTGGGTCCCTCTTTTATCACTGCATTTCTCACCTGTGTTGCCACTCTCCTTGTTGGAAAGCCAACCCCGGGGAAACAGGAACGTGTCACCGCCTTCTGTTCATTCCCTGATATTATGAACACACGATACTGTTTTATTTACAAAGGTATTGGGATTGGGGGTTGTAAGCAGCAGACACCAATCCTGACTGGTGTAAACTGGAAAGGAACATAATGTGAAAAGATACTGCAGAACTCGCAGAATCACCCTGGAGCTTGGAGCCTGGTTTAGTGGCAAAGTGGCCAGAGAAAGGCCCTGAGTCACTACAGAGAACTGCTCCCTAGAGCTCACCTACTGCCCCTCCGTGAACACCACACCCTCGCCGCAGTCCAAGTCTAACTCCTCTGACCCACCTGTTCTTGGTATGGAGCCGTCACCGTCAAGTAGGTGATCCTTTGAAGAGCGTCTAATAATAATAACAATAATCATCATAAGAGATTGATATAGACAGGTCTGTGAAGATATGCCCAGGGTCATGTGAGTCCTTATCTGTACGTGTTTTAATAAAGATTTACCATGTCGGTGTATTTTGTTAATTGAGGAAGTCTAGAGCCAATGTCCATCTTTCCATCTGCCATCATCCATCCATCCAATCACTCGTTCATCCAACAGGCAGGTGGCATGTGCCTTCCACGTAGATTTGTCAACGCAGCTCTGCCATTGAGCTGATTCCCCCTCACGGCACCCGGAGGTGGGTGTTGGCTGTGATCATGACAGAAGCAGGCCATCCTTCCACAGTTCCCGGGGGAGGCTGTGAACCACTAACCTTTAGGTTAACCATCTACACCGTGCAAGGACCTTACTGTAGATTTTCCTAGGAGTACATTTGACTCACAATGCTTCTGAGAATGAGCTTGGCAGGTGTTCCACTCTCCACCTGACAGACCAGTAAGCCAAGTCTCACAGGCTGGAGCCTGGTCTCCGTACTGTGCGGCCTCAGCCTTCTCAGGGGAGTCGAACATCAGAGAGTGCCCAGGAAGGATGTGGACTGAAAGGAGATTTTGAGCCTGTCCAGTGGTAGACCATTGTTGGTGACCTTTCAGAAAACAAGTTATCTGGCTAGTGAGTGTGACAACTAGAATGAATGGGGTTAACTAGTAATGTGATGATGAATTTGGGGCAGCAAGGGGAAACAACTCTTTAAAAACATTTAGCAAGAAAGGAAATGCATGACAGGGCAGTGATATAAGGTGAAAACAGAGGGCTGGGGAGGTTTGTTTGGTCTAGTACTTGACCCCTGTGGAGATAACAAATTTTAAAACACAAGCTAGAGCAATAAGATAGCAGGCATAGGCATTCTTGAAATTTATAAACATGCCAGCCTAGAAAAGTATTTGCTGTTTAAATGAAATTTAAATTTAACTGAGTGCCTTGCTTTAGGGATTTTGTAATTTTCCTAAATCAGGCAACCCCTACCCAAAACAAAATAACCTCATTGACTACATCTTAATGAGGCCATTGTGAAAAGGAAAAAAGATGGATGGTGCTGCCTCCTACTGGCGGAACGTGGCAACATCAAACAGGCCAGCAAAGATGGTGTGCCCTGCAAGAGGTTTACTTTCACAGAATTTGCAAGCCCCAAACCACACTGGGAGCGAGAGTTGGAGTTTTAATTATTCTGCTAATGTTTTAGTCTAAGTTTATTACTACAGTAGTCCTACTACCTTTTCATTTGTCACTGGTACCAATATATTTCATTTTAGCAATTTGCTGTTTCTCTGAAAATTTAGTATACCTTTTTGTAATCAAACTCACTCATTGTTTAAGAATAGTTTTATTGACTTATCTTACATAATCCAATATATCCATTCACATACAATTCTGTTGTTCGATCCCATCGAGTAGGGTTATGCAGTCATCAGTGCTATCAGCTCCATATTCCCCCTCCCCCACCTCTCTTCCCGTACCCTCAGGGAGCCATTACTCCTGTTACTGTTTCTGAAGGGTTAACTATCTTAACTTTCACTTACCGAACAATCTTAAATATGCAAATGAACATATGAAAACCTAGCATGATTAATGAGGTAAAACAAGTACCAGCCTTAATAGTAAGGGGAGGAAATATGAAAGAACTAGCGGATAATTGTGTGATTCATCAGTGCTATACTGCACCCTGGATTTATCATCCTTTCTGTGTGGGCCTTCTGAGAGGGGCTGTCCACTTATCTTGTAGGTGAGTTTGGGGTCTCGGTTGCATCCACGCCCCTTCACATCAAGCAGGTTGTGTCAAACTCTCTAAACTCCCTGCCATTGAGTTCATTCCAACTCATAGCAACCCTACAGAACTGGCCCTGTGGGTTTCTGAGATTGTAACTCTTTATAGGAGTCGAAAGCCTCATCTTTTCCCCACAGAGTAGCTGGTGGTTTCGAACTGCTGACCATGTGATTAGCATCTATCACTAAGAGCAAATTTTTCCTTTGTCTTATGATATAGCTAAACCGAAGCCTCTCAGCTCAGAAACGGAAGGCGAGTCCAGGGCCGAGAAGAACGAGCAGTTCCTGCAGAAGCTGGGC